TTTATAACAAGTCCCAAAAATGACACATAATAGGGCTAATCTATCATGCAAAATGGCCCTAAAAGAGAGAATATGAGACAAGGGACAGCATCTGGCCCAAAATGGAAAAGATCCCTTCAAAAAAGTTTAAGAGGGGCTCAAAAATAAGGCACTTTTACAGTTTATACCGAGCCAACGAAAATAATTACAAATAGGGCTAAGCCACCATGCAAGAAAAAGGCCTAAAAGAGGGATAAAGAGGCAAGTGGTAGCTTCTATCTCTCAACAGAGGAGAACCCTTCAACAAAGTTAAGAGGGGCTCAAAAAAGGCATTTTACAGTTTATGGAAAATCCGAAAAAGCTTACAAATGAGCCTAAAATACCATGCAAACTGGCCAAAAGAGAGATAAAGAGGCAAGTGGCAGTAGGAGATGTCAAACAGCAAGAGGTCCTTGATCAAACATGAAAATGAGCTCAAAAATATGACTATTTTCAGTTTGGGTCGGCGCCCAAAAATGCTTGCAAGAAAGGCTTAGATATAGAGCAAGAAAGACTAGAAAAAGGGAGAAAGAGGACTCACCCTTGAAGACCAATGAATCAGCAGTTTTTGGTTGAATAAATGGTGCTCCTAACCTCTGAAAATAACCTCCAAGTTGCTGGAATGGAGTATGGAGGTGTGGTGCTATGAGGTGGTGTAGATGGCCAAGAACCAAGGGTGTTTTGAGCTTGAAAATGGAGAGCAATGGAGGGAAGGGTGTATGCTCCAGCTGTCTTCTAACCCTTAGAAATGAGGCTTAGGTGTATTATATAAGAGGGAGAGAGGCAAGGAAAAAGGGGGGGAAAAACAAGTTCAAATTTCCCCCCAAAGGGCAGTTCCTTGGGCAGGGGTCTGGTGCAAAACAGCTGGCACAGCTGGCATCCCTCAGCCTGCAGAATACACCGGAAGGTTGTCGGCTAGCAAAAATGGTTGGTGCGCCATCTATTTGGTCGGTCGGCCACTGTTCTGGTCGGCCATCTATTTGGCCGGTCGGCCATCTGTTCTGGTCGGACGGCAGGAAAAATCTACTCTGCAGGTCCAACTTTCAAACGGGCATAACCTCTTCAAATGAACTCCTTTCGGTCTTTCTTGTGTCCAAATTGAAGCCCTAGAAGTAAGATTTCCAATGGCACAGCTTTTCATCAAAATTCAAACTGTGAAAAAAGTTATGCTTGTTTTTGTAAAGGTTGCTCAGTTTCGGTCCAACGCGGGATGATGCCCAACTTCAACCAATCATATCTCCCCCATCCGGACTCATCTTTAGGAGATTCTTGAGTGAAAATGAAGCCCCGAAAGTCTTCTTTCCAACGGTGGTGGCCTCATATCTTAACTCCATGTGTATAGACAGATAAGCCTGATTTAGCGAGGACCGCTCGACTTTCTCTTAGCGATTCTTGCCTATCTTCTTCTCCAACTTGGTTTTCTTCTCTCTTTCCCTCCTTTCTTCAACTTCAAACCCCTAAGAAGTCTGTTTTGAAAGATTTTCAAAGATTTAATCTCTCTTTCATTCATTTCCACTTTGTCCTTGCTCGGTTTACCGAAAAGCGCAACGTTTGACAAAATGCGAGCCTCGGAATATCGCAGAAACTTTATTTCAAAAATGTTTTTGAAAGAGAGGATTTTAAGGTCTAAAAACATTCAAAATAGCTTTGATCCAAAATGGGTGTGAAGTTGAGATTTGTCTCTCTGCTTGCCGAAGAAACTGAACCTTTGCCCTGCACACCTTTCACCCACCAAGTGAACCATCAGTAACGCCCAAGTCTTAAGGGCGGTCAAAATGGGGTGTCTACACGCTGATTTGATATTTCAGATTTTAATACTCAAAGAGAACGACACTTCCAAAGTTACTATTTTACACCAATTTTCTAGACAAATTTGAACTCACCATTTAATATAGATTTTGAATCTCAAAAATTATAAGAAAATTCTGGTATTGCAATTCAATATGTAATTAATTTGACATAAAATTTTAATTCAAAATTCATCCGTTTGATATGATTCCTTGATTTTTAAAGTTTTTTTTTTTTATTTTGTACAGAATTTTTAAAACTAAGAATTACTTATATTCTTTATACATAAATTTACTCCTCAGATTTCTTAACAGGATATATATACACAAAATCCATACACCTACAACCTCTCCATCAATGAATTAAATAACAATAGAGTAAGGATGAAAAAAACAAAAACAAAAAGGAAAGAAGAAAGCTAGAAGCCTACCACACCCAAAAGTTCTTTGATTGACTTCTTCTTCTTGTTTTCTTCTCTCTAAATCTCTCTCCTGTGGTAGTGTGGCTGCTGCTGCTGCTATTTGTGGTGAACAAATAGAAGGGTAGGGTTGGTTTTATTTTATTTTATAATAGTATTGGGCACCACTACAAAAAATTAAGGTTTTAGAGATCAAAATTAGGACACAATTATTTTTTATAGGGACCAAATAATTTTGTTGCGAAAAATGTCATTATTATATTTTTAGTAATAAAAATTAGACATTAGCGATGAATTATTATCTTTTTTGGACCAAATTTTTTGTCTCTAAAAATAAACTATTTTGAGACTAAATTATTTTGTCCCTAAAAGTCTATTTATTAGTGACATTTTCAAAATTTTGTCGCTAAAACCTTATTTTATAATTTTCGGGATGACGTTTTAGCGACTATCTTCATGACGATGGAAATTGGTCTCTAAATGTCTTTTGTAACAAAAATTTTCACTTTTAAAGACCAAAACATTTGATCTCTAAAACTCTTATATGTTGTAGTACTTACCAAAAGCATGTGTAGGTCAAATAAATAATAATATACAAAATATTTATTATGCAGTATGCAACTCAAATGGTAAGAGCATTATTTATTAAATTTGTGATTTAAAGTTCAAGTCACACCCTCTTCTCTATTTTTTAAAATAAAATCTTGTCTCTAATTTAAAGACCTTCACCATAAATTTATTTTATGTTTAAAATTAATTAAAAGACCCTCCAAATATTTAATTTGCACTTTAGGATTCACTATCAAAATATTGAGATTGTAAAATTATTATTATTTAATTATTTACTTTATTTTTATAGTCGAGTTCTCACACCAGCCTTCCAAACAATACATACATTGTACCATAAATATCAAATTGTCTCTTTATATCTGTTAGAATAGTAGGAGAGAGAGAGAGAGAGAGAGAGAGAGAGAGAAATGAAATAATATGTATTGTATTCAATGAATATAATCCTATACAATAGAAGGCCTGTATATATAAGCTGAAAAAGAGTGTCCTACTAAAAACCTAATTATGAGAAAGATTATTCTACAAGAAACTTAACTATGGCTATTCCCAAATATATCTAAGAAATCAATACTAATATATCTAGGAATACCATATATCATTAACATCCCCCCTTAACTCAAGGAGGATAAACATCTTAAGCTTGGAGAGAGAAACTAAAACATAACATAAAACGAAATAAAATAAAATGGGCAAATAGATTGCAAAGTCTAAACGGGAACGTAAAGGCGCTTGAGATATATCAGAGGCCAGAGCTAATGCTAGGAGATAGTTTATGGTCGTGTTGAACTGTTCTAGGAACTGGCCGAAACTAATGCCGGGACAGTTTAAGGTCATGCCGGACCGTTGTAGGAATTGGTTGGAATCAATGTCAGAACAATTTATGGGTCATGTCGGACCGTTGTAGAGACTCGATGTTGAACTAGCAAGCGTGACACATACATAACTTATGATATGATGCTGAACGATGATGACAACAGATGACTGAGTGCGCTAGGGGGCGGCTTAGATGTATGCCAGGGGACGACTTTGGTGGTACTCCAAGGGCGGTTGGGTTATGCGCCAGAGAGGGCGGCTTGGATTGTGCACCAGATAAGGTGACTTGGGCAGTGCGCTAGGGACAACTTGGGTGGTACGCCATAGGAGGCGGCTTGAATTGTGCGCCACAGGGATGGTTTAAGCAGTTTGTATGGTGTATAACAATGTTCACCATGATATATAGCGCCAGAGGAGGCGACTTCGGTGGTACGCCATAGGGGGCGGCTTGATTTGTGCCCCACAGGGACGGCTTAGGTGGTTTACATGGTGTATAACCATGTTCACTATGATATAGGTATAATACTCCTCCTCAAAGTCAAATAGGTTTGAAGATAGAAACCTATTTGAGGTTGAAGTAGAGGGAAAGATAGAGTGGAGCAGAAACACACACATACATACACACACACACACACAAAAAGGATTGCGAGTAAAAAAATATAATAGAGAATATTTGGGTAGAAATAAACCAGCGGACAAAGGAGAGATCACCACGAAGCCATACTGACAAGAAAATGTAACAACGGAATAAGTTGAGGTCCGATGAGCGGCCAAGGCAAGGTGCCTCCCACCGGTGAAGTGAAATTACTAGGTACTTATGCATTGTATTCAATGAATATTATCTTGTATATATAGGCTGAGAAAAAAGTATCCTATTAAAAACCTAATAATGAGAAAGAGTATTTTACAAGAAACCTAACTATGGCTATTCCTAAATATATCTAAAATCAATATCTAATATAGTCTAGGAATATCATATAGACATTACCAATATCAAAGCCAAGGACCTTGACAATTACATTTCATCACACTGGAATCTTATTACACGAAAAAAAAGATATACGTATAAAACACAAAAAGCATTATTCATATTTCAATAGCAATAGTATAATAATAATTGTTCAACATCAGGGTACTCAGTCAAGTATGTTGGTAATAGGATTCTCATCGTGGCAGCATATGAAGGTGATGTGCTTCTCCATGCTACGGAGGCACTCCGGGCATTCATGCTCTCCAGTATCCTTTCCACTATGCTTGGGGATTCAAAGCGACAACACGGGTGCTCAAACCCATGAAGCTGTCATGGTGCATGCATTCCTTGAACGATTTATCAACCCTTTGGTGATCAACTTTTGTTTCCACATATCGTGTACTCCAACAAAGTAGGTAACACCGTGCGCCATGCCCATTGACCACCACCTTGATCCCTTGCAGAACACAGCCCATCCTCCTCCACTCTTGTCAAGCTAAGAAGTTTTTTGATCTCTTCCATCATGGTGTCGTAATCATTGGCCTTGCCAAGTTGAATCTTGGAGAACAGCATGTTCTCTAGCCGAGTCCAGAAAAACCATATCATAGGCTCTTGCCAGGCAGTCCCTATTTTACCAGTATTGACAGCTTGAATGGCTCGCCTAACTTGTTCCCTTTTGCTACTCTTTCCGACACAGACCATTTCCAGAGGGATGTGTGTTCCCGTGCAACAGAGTTGGCCATGGTTGTGAATCTTTGCAACCACTCGACGTCATCCCTCCATACAAGAAAATGTGTTTTCCTTCTCTAATCTATAATAAAAAAATGTCGATCCGAATCACATGTTAGTTATCAAACTCCATAATTTGATCATATTAGTTTAAAAGATGAAGTACTAATAGAGATTGACATCCAATTTGAAATAGTCAATTTATTTTAATAAACTATTTTGCCTTGGGATTTATATTATATTTTTAATAGATGTTATCAATTGGACCAAATTAATAATGCAATAATGGTTATCTAGCTAGACAAATAAATAATATATAATATATATATTTTTGATGTTTACCAATTGAGTATCGTTGGTCAATACCATTCACCAGCAACTCAACCTTCCAAGTCTCTTCCTTCCAAAGAGCTTCCTCTCTCAAGCTGGTAAAAGGAAACGCATTGCTTCCCCATATCCACATCATGTGGATGGCATTGGGGCTCACCACCTTACCTTGTGTAGACGTCCCCGAACGCCCCGGGGAGGAACGAGTCCCCCCGTTCCGTTTGATATTGGGCTCACTACAGTTCGGACTCTAAAATTGTCACGGTTCTAAGTTTGAACCAAAGAGTCCAAATCTGGCAAATCGTTTTTGAGAAAACAGATTTTTTTTAGAAAAGAAGTGCCAAACATGGACTGCTTTGCCAGATACAGAGTCGCCACCTAAATGTTTTATTTGGAGAAATTTAGGAAACCCTAACTCGTTTGCCTAAGGCCACGTGTCCATCATCACCAAAGTTGCCTCGGCTCAGGAACTTGGATACGATTGGGGAAGGTCACTTCGTGAGCACCCCGCTCGCCGATCAAAGATCGGCCTCTACTACCATGATATCTATTTTTGAAAACATTATGTGTTCTTATTCCGGTTATTAGCCTAGATTACTATGTGATGCGCACAGCATACAAGTATAGACTGGGTTGCCTGAATTGGAACAAAACATTTCATGTTCGTTTGTTTGAAAATGGTTTGATGGGGCTACCCGCAAGTAGGCTAAGATGTGGATTTGCCACCTCAGGTGGGCTTAGAAAACATGATTTTTGCCACTATCTAGTGGGCTTTAAAACACACATTTGATGAATTGTTCCAATTCAAATAACCTAACCTTCACCCACAGGCATTCAGGCAGTTATATCACATAAGCATATAGCCTCATGGTAAGCATGCTATTCATGGCAGTCACTCACACACATGCAAGGATGCTAAAGCATAAAACTTACCGAGTACTCCAAGCCAAAACAGAAGCTAATTAGAAATCATGCATGACCCTAATTATACAGAAATGCCTAATGCAACACATGCAAAAGTGCAACTATGGCAGGCTCGGCTATTCTAAACATGGCATATGAAATGCTACAGCTAACATGTATTCAACTTTGGAATTGAAAATACAATGCAGTTAAGTAATATGCTATTATGATGTGCCGAGCCCGGTGCATGCAAAACAGATGAATGAATGCAAACATGCTATCATACTGTATGCTAATTGAAACATGCCCTAATCTAACCATCATAAGCGGGTAAATAAAAGGGAGAAAGACGTGGGGTTGGAAGACATACATCACACACACACACACTTATTATAGCATTGTCCTCGCGCAGAGGGTCCGAATAAATAATATACAGTCCCAAATAATTACAGTCCAAATAATTACAAAAATCCTAATTAATTTCCAAATTAACTAAGAAAACAATAAACAGGCACGCAAGCCAGGGACTGCCTTGACTCTTTTCCAGATGATGGATGATGCATGTCCGGGTCGCCTTTGCACGGAAATCCACAGTGATGCCCCAATTAGCCTCTGTTTTGTAATATTTTTTGGAAAGCGCGCCAAGCCCCGAAAGACTGCTGATTCTTGATTCGTTGCAACAGAGAGCAGAAAAGGGGCATGGCAATGTATTTTCACACATGTATGCGTGACTACTCTTCAGGGAGTGTAGTCCTCGATCCTCGTGCCACCAATCACGCATCTCGATGCATGATGGCCGAGGAGTCGAATTGTGCAACTCAATATAGAATGAATGCATATGAAAACACAACAAGACCTAACTTCATCATGGATAATCCGGAGTGTTGGTGACTGGGAATTGAGACACGTTCCGTCACTCGAAGTACGAAACGTCCCTCATTTCCCGTGCTCGGACTAACTCCTATCCCAAGCACAATGCAATATGCATGACATGCATAAATGCAACTAATATACAACCTAGCATGCACAATGCTATGAGATGGCATACACGATGCACAAGGTAACATGGCATACACAATGTATTAACATACATCCTAGCATACACAATGCTATGAAATGAAACGGCATACACAATGAAATATGGGCTTACACCAACGTGAGTGGACCTCAGCCGCACTCACATAGGAGGCCATGCAATGAAAATGAGACAACTCGGAATGCGTGCACACATGCACGCAAACCGAGGACCAAACCTAAAGCACGAATGCCACTCTAACAAGACATGGAAAGACATGGTATATGGAATACTAGCATGTAAATTTCAGCGCTAAAATATGACCCAAAACAGCCCCGAATCATGCAAACATGGCACCCGATGCATGGAATGAGACCCGAAATGCAAAACTAGGCATGCGCGATGACCTATAGCTATACAAAACATGCACTATTTGAACATGAAGTATGAAGACAGATTCAAGGCAGTCCCAAAACAAGCATGTTTACAGTTTTAATCAAGGCCAAACAATGAACACAAATGGGGCTAAGCTAGCATGCAAAAATGGCCCCGAAAGAGAGGTAATGAAGCAAGTGGCAGCTTCTGGCCCTGAATGGCTAAGATCCCTTCAACAAAGTTGAAGAGGGGCTCAAAATGAAGCTCTTTACAGTTTACAACCGAGCCCAAAACAGTGCATAAGCAAGCCTAAAATATTATGCAAAATAAGGCCTAAAAAGAGGCTTAAACACAAAGTGTAAAAATGGGGCCTCAAACAGCAAAAGACCCTTGATCAAACATGAATAGGGGGTCAAAATAAGGCCATTTACAGTTCGGACCAGAGTCCAAAAATGCAAACACAAGGGGCTAACAAATCATGCAAAAATAAGGCCAAAAGAGGGATATAAAGGCAAGTGGAAAATGGAAGCCTCAAACAGTGATGAGCCCTTCAACAATGTTGAAGAAGGGCTCAAAATAAACCACTTTATAATTTATTATAGAGCTCAAAACAGTTTACACATAGGCCAAAAATACTACACAAGAAATAGGCACACAAGAGGGGTAATGAAGCAAGTGGTAGCTAGGGACCTTAAACATGGAAAGACCCTAAAACAAACATGAAAAATACATCAAAACAAGACTATTTCCAGTTAGGGTCGGAGCCCAAATATGCAAGCATGTATGGCTTAGAAATGATACAAAAATAAGCTTAAAAGAGAAGAAATGTTGCTCACCCTCCTTGAAGACCAAACTTTAGCAGCCTTTTGGCTTGAGAAAAGGTGCCTCCAAAGCTCTGAGAAGGCCCTCCAAACTGCTGGAATGGAGTGCTGGTGTGGTGTTAGGTGGTGGTGTAGAAATGAGTGTAGGACTTGAGAGGTTTAAAGCTTGGAAGTGTAGAGGGAGAGAGATACAATATGGGAGCTCAAAGGCAAATTTTCTAACCCTTAAAACAGAGCTGGGAGGCTGGTTTTATAGGCAAAAGAGGGGGAGAAAAGGGGGGAAAAATGGGGGGGAAATGAATTCAAGTTTCCTCCCAAAAAGTTGGCCCCCCAAATACAAAATCTGGGGGGAAAAGAGATGCATATTTGAAATGTACCTGCAGCAAGGAGCAAGGCCGGCTGGTTATTGAGGTTGCAGGTGGCCGACCGGCTCTCCCCATGGCCGGCCAGCCAAGGGTCAAAAGGGTCAATGAGGATTAATGGCCGGCCATACCAAAAAAGGAGCCTCTCATGTGTGTACAATACAACCATGTAGTCAAAAACTGGAGAAAATGAACCAGGAGAGAGAAAAGGCCATTTTTAGGAGGGGTTCAAAAGGGTCAAAAAGAATTACTGGCCGGCCATGTGATATTGGTGGCCTCCCAGGTGTGTACAACACAAATATGTGGTTTGGGGCAAGAAAAAGTGGCCTTAGAGTGGTCAACTTTGGCTTTCAAGTGGGAAACACGGGCGACGGAGGGCGATGGAGGAATAAAACTGGTTGTCAGAACAATTACTGGCCTCCCACCCTTCTACGACCTTTCCAATAATGAAACAGAGGTCCCTGCCAAAAATGAGCTCAAACTGATGCAAAATGGAGGTTTGGGGGCCGAAACGCGCAGTCCGAGGCCCCGAAAACTGGCTGTTAGGCACCGGAAGTGGTGTTCGACCACGAAGTTGGTTTTTCGGGCCACAGTGTCCCTCAAAAGGGAGCAAACAAGATGCATGCCAAAAACCAGAACAAACGGAGGTGGTTAAGCAGTCCCGAACCGAGGCACACGGCCAACGGCTCCGGAAAATCGGAAACCAGACTCCAAACGGGCAAAATGGCCTACGACCACGAAACGTAGCCTACGGCCACTGAGAGATGATCTACGAGACCTCTCCCTCCCTTTGGGAAGAGCAAACAGAGAAAATAGAGCCTGGTTCGCAAGCCGAGGCAAAGCATGAAAGAGTCCGGAAGTCCGGAGGCAAGGCTCGCGGCCAAGACTCTGAAACCTCTGAACAAGCACGATATGCAACATCACCAAGCGCTTAATCGGTGACGTCTGAGTTTTAAGGTCGGTCAAAAATGGGGTGTCTACAGTTGCCCCTCTTTGACAGAACTCGAAAGTCATAAGTGACGGGAGTGAATGTCAAAGCCCAGAGACGACCCATTTTTGACAAGGTCGAAGACTTAGACAAACAGGCATGATAAACAGAGATGTGCCTGCAGGCATGCCCGCAGGCAGGGGCAAAATGCAACTGATAATGCAAGAAGCCAAATGTAACTC